GGAAGTGACACATGCACGGGGAAACTGAACATTGCGCTTGGAAGCAGAGCATATGTGAATCTGGACGGAGACTGTTATGTTTTCTAATGGCTGTTAATAATGTATGTATGGACCAGAGCCTTGTATGCAATAACAAAAATGTAAATATTAGCATGAACTAGAATGTGGTGTGGCCTCATGTTTTTATTCTGCAAACTATGTACTGTTGGTCATGTTTGAAGAAGAGCAATCCTTCACACCTTAAATTAACTGGCTGTTAGCTCAGGGCCATGTGACTTAGGGGGGCTAATTCGAGCCAGTTGGAGGAGAGTTATGGAGTTGTTGTGAACACTCAAACAATTAACAGCTCTGTCTTCATTTGTCAGACCTTGTGCGCATAAATTGCTTTGGTTCCCAGCCAAATAACAGAGGTGCTCATTCATCTTGGTTCTTTCCCTCAAGACATGGGAGAGCATGCCAAGGTTGGCCTGCATGTTCTCTGCTTTATTGCCTTGGGCCTTTCTTGAAAACTGGAATATGTTTGGAGGGGATTAGTGGCTTTTTCACAATCCAGAGGTGGTAAATAAAGTGTGATTTAATTTTTTTTTATCTTGATCTGATGTCAAGTGTTTTGGAAGAACATCGCAATGTCAGCTCTCCTCGAAGAGGGAGTGCGCACCGTTCAACAATTCCTAGCGGAACTACCTAAACAATAGAATAATAATTTGTTGTAGGAGCCACCCATTTTCTGTTTGCTTTGGCTTTTGCATGAACCCATTACTTATCCTCCTACCTCACAACATGTGGATAAGTCGCATCTGCTTGTGCATCCCTGTGGACGAACCGCTGCTATTGCTTCAACTCAAGCAAGCCTAGTAGCCAGAGCTTTCCATCCAGCAATAACATTCCGAAGTGCTTGTAGTCTGATGACTTCTGCATTTTATTAGAGAGATCTGCTCAGCTAATTACAATGGGCCGTTTTGTCAGAAGATGTAATGTGCTTATATGAAGTGTCTCGGTTTGCAAAATACCATATAAATGGGCTTGATGGAGGAGGAATGTTATGAGTTAGCCTTTGATATGCCCAAATTCCAGATCAGATTTTTTGAAACATTGAATTGTTGATATGCTAATATAAATTCTGTGCACTGTTCTTAGATGCTTTTGAGGCAAAGAAGTTGGACACATCAATAGAAATAAAATGCTGTGTGAGTGAAATCAGTTTTGACTGGTATCTCTGGATTTAAACTTTTAGCTTGGAACATTTTTAGCTGCTTTAAAATGAGATGCTTAAATTAAGCAAATTTTGAGGAATTTATGTCTAACTCGTGGTCTAATCAACCAAACATCTGTAAATGAAAGATTTTTGTGGCCTGCGTGGAGACATAAATAATAAAGAGCACCATGAAAGTTGACGTCAGTAGGACTTCAGAAGTACTGTTTAAACAGGATTAGCTGTACAAGGGGAGGTGGGGTAATGTAATATTAGCACATGCCGATAATTAGTACTTTTTATTTTGGTCACTGCAGCGCCAGGATTTGAACTCTTGATCTTGCGATGATGGGTCAAAACCTTAGACAGTTCTGTTAATGGGCAGCCTTGATTAACTATATGATGGCAATCCAGGCTGAACAAGTGATTCTGAACTCAAAACATGATCATGGTATCACAAAAATGTGTATCCAAACATAAACTTTAGCATGTGAATAACGTGTTATAACACAAATCTATAAAAAATTTGGCAAGAATAAAGAAAAAAGTCAGTACTGCACTATCAAAAGTACAAAATTAAAATATTATATATAACTAGAAACTTTAACAAAACTAACAAAAAGTGTTGCTAGGCGGTTGCTACAGTATTCAAGGTGGATGATAAGGTGTTGCTAGATGCAACCTTAAACTGCTACCTTAAATCCACTGCCACCTTTAATTCACTGCCACCTTTAATTCACTGCCATTTTAAATGTAATCATAGATTTACTGCCACTTAAATTTACGGATACCTTAAATTCACTGCCAGCTTAAATTGAAAATAAAGCCAACTTAAATATAGAATCATATTGGCTGGAATTATCAGTAATCTGTAAACAGTAATCAGTATCGGTATCTGCCACAAAATGTTCATATTGGACAAGCCCTAGTCCAAACATTTCATTTGATCATAATTATGTTTATCCTACCCATAAACCTAGCTGTCTTAAAGAGGAACTCCACTGGTTTCTCAATTTCCACACATCTTGGTTATTAAGATGAACAATGTCATTCAGAGTAGTGTGACATGAAATGCTCCATTCTAGAGAAACGGTGTCAGAACTGTTCACAGTGGTGGTGAAGGGAACCAGCCGTCTGAAGAGTTGCCTCTAAAATTTCTAAAATAAATAAATAAATAAACATTCAGTGGAGCCCCTTTAAGCGAGTGCAGTGTGTCATTAGCATTGTTGCCTATAAATTCCCAAGCTAATGATGGTCAAGATTACTACATTAAATCAAACTTTTTTTGTCATTGTAAATGTTTTAATGTTTGGAGTCATACATTTGCCAAAAACTCCTTTTCTGCAGAATGGGATGGAATATTTACTGGCATGGTAATTTGCACAAGGGTAATATAACCCTTTCTGTGGATTATTTCTACAGTTATTTTTTATAGCAGATGAAAGGCAGCGGCATCTTTACTAACACAGGAACACAGAGTCAGTGACTTGACTTGAATAATTAGTAACTTGATTGATTCTTGCAGTGTAAGTCATTTCACCTCCAGTGCAACACTGCTCTTCTTAATGAACAAGCTGCGTTCTGATTTTCACTGCATGTCCACTTTAGTTTGAAGTCCAAGACAAAACCCAAAACTCCACTTGCATTTGCCAAATGAGGGGTCCTGTGAAGTTTTACTTACTCTAAAAAATGCAAAGTGAAAGAAAATGTAATGTTCTTTTAGGCCTATTACAGATGGTAGTAAATCATCATTCATGATTGATACAGATATATGGATGTCTGTTATAACTCCAGCGAGGACTGGATTGGATGAGACAGTCTGGAGTAGCCCTCATCACCACTGCTTCATTAATGCGCTAATAGCCGGACCAGGGGTGCATTCCACAGCGTTCCATGCTAATAGAGTGCTGTGTAATTATGTGGCCGACCTCAGAGTGGACCAGCTGCTTACGGCCTGCCAAATGTGGTTTCCTACTCATGGACCCCTAAAGCACTTTTATACGAGGCTAACTCAACTATCGTAAAGATTAGCGGAACGAAGAATAACAGTGGCATAAATCTTGACTCCCGAGTGTTGATCTTTTTTGATGTTGACGAGAGGGAACGCGAAAAGCGAAGGGGGTACATTTTGGCTCGACTATTTTCAGAAACAACATGTTATTAGGATCTGAAACCGCCAGGCATAAATTACGGCCTGTCTTGCACAAATGTAATGGTTCTCACATATATTATTTATTGTCAGAAGGAAGTTGTTCTTCAATGTTAAACAAGAATGTAATTAGCGTGTGATTACATATGATGATCTTCCTAAACATCAGTTCAGCTGCTGTTGATGGTGATTATCCATGAGCGAGATGTGGCCTCTGACACTGTTGAGTCATCTTAAATCGAGGTACTGCAGATAGTCACTGCTGTTTTTGGCCCAAAAAGCCTCAGAGCTCTCTGCCATATCAGAAATGTCAGTACTATTATACTATTATCCCTCGTGTTGTCTTTCTAATTAACTGAATTTGTTTTTTCACTGAAAAAAAAATCTACTGCACTGTGATTCTCTCCATTTTATGATTAACAGGCTGTTGCTTTGGGCAGTTTTACATCGATGAACTCATCTCTTCTAAATCCCCACCTTTGGCAATACCTATTCTCAATATTGTCGTAGCACTTGGAATCTTTATCTGTTTTATGACCCTGTACTTCTTAGGGTTGGGTGGTATTCACTTGTTTCATACCTTCAAACTGTCTCCAAATATTACCACAGTATACGGTATTTACTGGTATAAAACATTGTAAGCCACACAAGCATTTTGTTGCTTTTGTGCCATCTCATCCTGTGTTATTTCAACATCAGAAATAATCAAAAATGTTTTGTTTGCATATGTGGTCACTAAATAAGTGAAGATGGTGATCAATTTTCAAGCCATTATTCAAAAAAGGTCAAGGCATCTAACAATTGCTAAATGTTAAACAGTGCTGCTAACTAGGAGAGAGAAGCTGGTTAGCATTAGCTAGCATGATAACAGCTCTGCCTATGTTAGATAGCAGGCACAGAACATGTTAGATTCTGGCTAACTAAAGCTTTAGTTTAAATGATAATGATACAAGTCTGAGGGAGTGAAGTTCAGCATTAAAGGGGCAAAAAAGCAAAAAGGATCTGTAGCCTGCTCAGCTAACTTAACATTAGCTTAGCGAGCCACCTATTGATGAATCCCAATCCACACCACCAATCGGTGACCTCTGTAAAATATAAATGGGGGAAATACGTTTATTTGGTTTATTTATCATGATTTTGAAATACTGGTGTCAATTGTAAATACCATGGTATACCTAATTACCGTTATACCGCTCCATGCTAGTGCTCCTTTTAGTCATCGCCCAGGTTCCAGTATGACATTCCTGTTTCTGAAGTGTTTATTGAATGTTTATAGAGTGTGTAATGTCCAGATTTATTTCAATAACTGTTACTTCTAAACATGCAGTAAAGGGCTTTCAGGTGTAGTAGGTCCCTTCTCCAAGGGAATCTCTTTAGTACCGCAAATGGATATTTCTTGTCATTTCATCTTGAGTGAGTATCATTGTGCGTATCTGTCTGCTGTTAAAAAGATACAGTTGAGGAGCAAAAGTAGCTTTTTCCATCTTATCAGACCCAACTTGGCCTAACTTAGAGCATTAGTTGAAGATTAGTTGAACATGAAGAGGGTTTTTTATCACTAAATCTCTCAACACTTGTCTAACTCAAAAGCACATCCTTGCAGATCCAAAGTTGTGTCAGCAAGAATTCGCTAACGCTCGCTCTGTCTGTCTTCCACAGCGGCCGAAGTGAACCTGTCGGAGTCTGGGGAGATCGAGCCATTGGCTGAGGCCCAGAGTGGAGGCTTGCCAACAGCTGAAGGTACAATATAACAGCCCTGAACTCACCAGCACAGCCCTGTAGCCATACTTTAAAAACCAGCCCATGCTTTGTGTAGCCATGTGCTGCCCCCTAAATTAGTGCTCAGCTGCTTGCTATCAGAGGGGCTAATTGCCTGGTGTATGTTTGCTTTTATCTGCATTAGGGAGTAGTAGTTTACTTAAGGGTTGTTTTCCGTGGACATCACCCCAGGGTTTCTGGACAGAATATTCTTCCTGGTTCCTCTCTGTTCTTTCTTGGAGAAGCTCATGTTGTTTCTTGACAGCTATAGCCTTAAAGGCCCCAAACACTACCCCTGCTATCAGGTAAATTCCTGGCCTACATGCTTGGCTAACTCTTAGTGATTACAACCTGCGGAAGTGATTAGTCTTGAATAAAGCTTTAGCTCTGATGGGTCGCTCTTCCTCCCTTCTTTTCTTGGCTTCTTTCTACACATACCACAACCCTAAACCTTGAGGCAAAACACGCCCCCATCTCCTTGACAGCACTGACGACTAGCAGCCCCTCAGACCCCACACTTCCACAGAATGAAAGGAAATAATGACTTTGTGAACATTATAATGGCCTTGTTCGTCACACTGGCATCAAACTGAATAGAAAGGCTTCTTATGAAGATCTAAATCTTGATATATGGCTTAATGTTGCTGTGCGTCTGTATGTTAGCCTTTGGCGCACATAAATCATGGAGTGGGGAAAATGTACCACTTCATCCTGCCAGGCCCATTTAATAGTTGTGCAAGAAAAATGGAATGTTGCACTGTGGAGACTTATTTGTGTTGGCTGTGGGGCAAAGTGGGTCTGGGGACTAAAGTAAGCAGTACTGTTTTTTAAAAGAGTGTTAAGAGTTTCGGACCTGTTCTTCTTAAAAATAGCAATGTGAAGTTCTGAAAGTGATAGTTCAGCCAAAAATACGCTTTTCCCTTATGTCAAATGTAGATGATCAGCTAGTACATGTTTGGTAACTGTTTAATTCTTCAGTTTTGCACTGTAGCTATGAGGCTAATGTAGATAACAAAAATTGTCAGATAATCTCAAATAGACTTTTGTATATGATTTCAGACCCTGTAAGACATACTGATATCTATAAAAATGGACAGAGGTATGTTGCATAGCTAAAAACAATAGAAACAGCCATTTTGGAGCCTGATATATTTTTTTTAATTTATTTTTTGCCCATGTGTTCGTTTGTGTAATAGTTTAACCATGCACTTTGCACAATGCTAAGTAATGCTCTTAAGCATCCATTACTTGTTGGCAGCATTAGCCACGTAGCAAAACTAAAGAAGCAAACTTCAGTCCGCAAATCGTCTTGGGTGATTATATTTGGCAAAACTCTGTGCGTTCTCTACGGATCAGTTACTTTAGAGCGCCTTAGCATCTTGGGGTCTAAATTTGGTCAACATTGTCATGCAGTGTCAGAAACCACACAAGCAAGTCTTTTTAAGATTACATATCAACTCAACACAGTTATGCAGTTTGCACAATGCTAATTAGTGGCTATTAGCTTCCATTACCTGTTGGCTAGCCTCGTAGCTCTAGGGCTAAACTGAACTTTTGACAGCAAACATATGAATTCCATGGTAGCCCAAGCTGAAGTATACTGGTCTGGTGCTGGTTTTGCTGATTGCCCAGTGTGGTTATGCTGGTTGACCAGCATACTAGCATCTAGTACACAGCATATGCTGGTTTTGGTGGTGATTAGCTTTGCAGCTTCTATTGCTGCTGACCAGCACACCAACATCCAAAACACAACAAACGCTGGTTTTGTTGGTGACCAGCTCTGGTGTTCTGTACTGTTTTTTTTTTCCTAGCAAGGACATCTTGGCCTTTGGGTTAAAAGGAAAATTGTATAGTTTTTAGTCTTGCTTTATAAAGTTTGGTCATCACTGAGGTCTGTTTGTAGGGTTAGGACGGCGCTGGGTTGTGTTTGGGCTGTCTGAATTAGTTCTCTTGAAGGCAGGGTCAACACCTTGGTGTCTGTATAAATTTTAAATTATTGCCATTTTTACACTTTCTAGCAAAACAGACAGGGAGAAAAAAGCCACACACTAAGGAGTGAGGTCATATTTTAGAGTGGCTAAAAACACAGTGCAGTATTTCAAACAAAGCCCATGCTAATGGATCCCAGTAAAAATAATCTAACACTCTGTCTTATGCTGCATAATGTCTGAGCTTTGTTGCCTTAGTGTGTAAGTGTGCTTCTGTCATCGCTTTGTGTTCTGTACGTCTGATTCATTGGCACCCAGTTGTGTCTTTATAGTCGTTAAATATATTTGCGTGATGGTTTTGGCCGTCCTGCTCATTTTCATTACACGTTCTTCGAGGCCATTTACACAGCTGAGTATGTGTTGGCTCAGTGGAAGGAGGTGGCATTTGCTCAAAGAAGCAGGAGCATGTAGTGATTTATTTCCTCTGAAAGTGCAGAATCAATCAGGCTTTCTGGCCCGATACCCAACACCCCAGTGCTGGAGATCTGACCCCATCCAGGTAGTCTGGCTTTTGACCAGTATTGATGATGGATAAATACCCTGCGGGTTCCTAAATCAGGCCCTGTTTCAGGAGTGTGGGGCTTAACAGCTGGAAATGCATTTCGTTTCAGTGCCCCGGGGGATGGAAACATCCGTTAGTTATCTATACAAATGTATTTTTCATGCATGTTTGCATTTTGTTGTACAAGAAGGAATTTGTTTGTGTGTGTGCCTTTACTTCAGAACAACTGCCTTTACTTCAGCGTCCTGGGTAAGAAGACTATTATTCAAAGGTTTGTAATCAGCATTTAAAGGATTGGAATTGATGTTTTCACATATTGTGATACACAAAATCCAGTTTAACTGGACTAATTGTACTCTTTTTAATTAAACATAGTTTTTTTATTTATTTATTTATTTATTTATTTATTTTTTTTTGGATTTTTACCCAATTTTCTCCCCAATTTAGTCGTTTCCAATTCCACCCGCTAGTTAGGACTCCCCCAATCACACAATGCTATCAACGCTAGGAGGGTGAAGGCTAACACAGGTTTCCTCCGAGACCTGTGAAACCAACCACCGCTTCTTTTCGAACTGCTGCTCACGCAACGTCACTGGACAGCCGAACGCGCTCAGAGGAAAGCGCCAACCGCCTGCACTGACTAGCATCGCGTTGAGTGATGGGGGGAGAGGGAGGGTCATCCTTCCCACCCAGAGAGAGCGAGGCCAATTGTGCTCTCTTGGACTCCTGGCTACGGATGGCTGTAGCATCACCAGGGATCGAACTCGCGATCTCCTGATGATAGGGCCAACGCTTAGACGGTTGCGCCACTCGGGAGCCCATTAAACATACAGTTGAAAAGTGTTACTTAAGTACCTATGATATCCACAAGACTCTCTGAAAAGCATATTGTCAAGTAATTTATAGTGATAATGATAAACATTGTCATTTCTATATAAAACCATGAACACTCAAAGAACCCTTTGCATGATTAAAGGATTCTTTGTGGCATTTTCACAGTTTTTTCACATTGGTGGAGAGCTGTAGATGGTTTTATATAGGATGTTTTTGAAAAGGGTTCTTTACGGCACCAAGCTTGACATCATAACAATAGAAAAACCCTTTTTGGTGCTATATAACACCCTTTTTAAAAAGGTGCTACATAGAACTATCTACAGCATATTCTCCCTCAATCTGAGGGACTCTAATTATGCAGAGGGTTCTTTGAGTGTTCATGGTTCTATATAGAACCACTGAAGAACCTAAATAACCCTTGAAGACCTATCTTTTTTAAGATTGTAGTGACAATGTGTCATGGAGAATGGAAACTCTGATTCTACAATCTAATAAAATTGCATTGTTTGAACACCATAGTTTGCAGATGATCAGCACCAATCAGCAGCTTGCTCTTGTTCTTCTCATTCCTCCCAGCTCTAGTGTTGTTACTAAGTTGTGCAAAAAAATGGTAGCCCTCATTTCCTTCATTCAAATTTTGTTTAAAATATCCTGAGAAACTCTGAACCCAGGGCTGTGAATGGAATCTAGTAATGGGCCAAGTTTATTGTTACGCCCCTATTACATATTGAAAACAGTGGAAGCAGAAGCATTTAGAGCATGATTTTTCTGTATGTTTGTCCATTTTTAGAAAAGCTTACCATATTTGAGACCACATAACAGCTCAAAGTGGTTTGAGAAAAATGTATGATCAATTAACCATACAGCTGTGCTAATTAATGCTACAGTTGTTAGCTACATTAGCCTCGTAGCTCCAGCGCAAAACTGAATAACCAACATTTGGAAACCAAACATATCTTGGGTGATTCTATTTGGGCTGAGGGGAAAATTTTGTATGTTCGATATTGTTTTTTTTTTTTTTGCTGAACTTCCACTTTAAAGCCACTTGTTACCCATCTGAGGCCTGTATATTGTACATACTTTTGTTTCCTAAAGTATTTGAAATATTTAATAAAAAATGTAACAGTACCTTTTAGTGTCTTGTATATACGGTCATATGCGAAAGTTTGGGCAACTCCAGTCAAACAGTTTGTTTGTGGAATAAAAAATAAGTTAACAGACCCTCTACAGGGAACAAACTTAAGTATGGCATTTTTCTGCATATTTCAGTGCCCAATTACTTTTCATTTGCTAAGTTCAACATATTGGAAAAAAAAATCACAAAATATAAAATGTGCCATAACTTTTGCACAGGCTTATTTTTTTCAATATGTTAAATTTAGCAGTAGATGTGCAGAAGTGTGTTCTCTGTAGAGGATTTGTTAACTTGTTTTAACTCAGAAAATCAACACACTGTCATTTGACCAGGGGTGCCCAAACTTTTGCACATGACTGTAATCTGCATTGTGCAAGTTATTCATCTATCTGAAATAGCAAAAAAATGTTTAATATGAGAAGTGATTCCAAACAGTGGTGTGTGAGTCACCAACTGAGGGCCAGTAGCCAGTGGTTGGGTCAGGGTGGCCTGCGTTGTTTGTCTCAATTGAAGCCGCCAACAA